CTTTTTGCGAGACTTAAATTTTTTTTATATTCATTACTGTCGTTATCTGGATTTTCCTTGAGAGCTAGATTTAAGCTGGACGCAATACACAACAGACGGAAACCGCCAAAAGAATTCCTTTGTATGTACCCTTTCTCGGTTAAGTCTGCGGTAATTTTTAAGCCGCATTGTAAATTGTATTGAGAACTCGTTAATGTTTTTATACGTTTAAAAAATTCCATAAATGCTTATACTCTGGTATATTTAACCTCGTTTCATAAATTCGAAGAATTGATAAATTTGCAAAAATGGTTCATATTCGAACTTCATCGCAGAAAGATTAAAATTATATCTAATATTCAAAATGGCTTATTTTTCAATTAAAAAAGTTGTCGAAATGTAATTGCAATATTTAACAATTTTTAATAATAATAATTATCTAAGAAGTTATACGAAAATTTAGTTTTGAAAGGGAAATCATTTGAAAAGTGAAATCGATTTTCAGTGCCTGAACATCTTAAGTTTATAATATACTAGTATTATAAAATATAAAAAATATGTAGAATATGAAACTATTGTTTTAACCAATTACTTAACGACTAAATGCTTAATTAAACATAATCCTGCAAAAAGATATATTCCGAGTTAAAAAACAATCTCATATTTAATTAAGTTATCTAGTAACAACTTTCCAAATAATTAGTATCGCGAGAAAAAGTCATTATCACAGTCGCGTTTCCCTTTCCAAGTTTCTTATAATCTCCGGCAGTCTAATAAATTTCTGATATCCCGAAAACGATCTCAAGAACGTACAAGCTGTTAAAAACGTTCAATATATCTTCGATAGAACGTCACGTTCGTTAATCTTTTCCCCTATTTATAAATTATCGTGCTTTCGAATCGTAACGAGGATCAACGTTGCTTCCCCCGCCCATAAAATATGACACGGAGATTTAGGGGAGCGTGACAGAAATTTTTTAAAGCGGTTCGTTAATGCGAGAGATTAGAGGTGCACGTTTGTTCTGAGGGAGAGAAAAAAAAAAGAAAAATTGTTCGCCCCGATGGGAAGTCGGCTTATCCGAAATCGCTGCAACGGCCAGCCAGTATTTCCGTTTGGCACATTTTCCCGTGTATATGTATATTTTATTTCCACGCTCGCGTTTCGGGTTATTCCGAGTCTCCGCCATCGAGAATCGAACCGCGGTTCAAAAACTTTCGTCCTCGTCGCGTTATCGTTTACCAAAGTCCCTGCGCGATCCAATCTAATTGTTTATTTTCTCCTACCCCCTCCCTCCACCCCCACTGTTGGTTTTCGACTTTAAAGAACGACGATATTACCCGTTCCTTCGTTGGACGTAACCCAACAATCCTGTTAGCTTTATTCGCGTATTTAAAACAAAAATTCTACCAATTTTTGTTTCCCTCGTTACGAAAATATCGAATGGCTTAAACAGAAGTGCCAGTCAGTATTAGAATATATGAAACAGGGTTTTAGTTTGAAATTTTATGAAATATTTCGCGAGCAATACATTTTATTCTTTTACTGACACCCGTCAAATTGTCACGGAACGAGAATTATTATTTGTCAAGTATTATTTTACTCCTCGCTTACTTTTCTCATAATTTATACGATCTTGCGTGCATGCAATCGCCGATTCTAGTGGAACAGCAGGGTTAAAGATCCTTCCGTGTCGGTCGGGAGACGAGCTGTGTACAGGCGTTTTTCGCGTTTTTCCAATTGTAATTCTCCAGCACAAACACGGATTACGTTGATGTTCCATTAACCCCGAGGAACGTCAGTTGTCCCGGCGGTAATCAGGGTGCACCGAACTTGGAGCAATTAATCGTTCGACGACCACATCGATTAAACAGCCGACATCGTTGATATCGATCGCGGAACTATTTGTTTCCGGAGAGAAAGGATCGCCGAGCGAAAATCAACACTTCCGTTTTTAGGAACTGCGCACTCTGAGTCAGGTTATATTGTAGATTTCCTTTATTTCATTCATTACTACTTGATATACAGGATGTTCAGCCATCCCTGGGAAAAATTTTAATGGGAAATTCTAGAGGCAAAAGTAGGACGAAAGTCAAGAATACCAATTTGTTCATGGAGGCTTCGTTAAAAAGTTATTAACGTTTAAAGTTCCACCCGTACTGAATTTTTTTCTAGAAAATGGGTAGAATTTCGAGGGTCTGTCTATTCACCAAAAATGATTGTAATTGCCTCCTGCAACGGTAAATAATTTTTTTAGAGCGATTTGAAATTTTTTTTTTTCGCCGAAAAATGTAGGCACCCTGTCCATTTTTCTTAAAAATTCGTTTTCGATTTTTAATAATTTTGTTTGACGCCCTACAGAAAAGTTGTCTAATACTTTTTTGTAGATACCCATGAGCTTTACTTCAGAAAAAAGTTTCATTGAAATATATTCACTATTGTAGGAGTTATGGTTGTTTGAAAATTGGACTATTTTTACGTGGTTTTTCTCATTTTACGATATCAAGGAACAACTTTTTCAATATTGTTAGAATTTCTACATATTCTTCACTAAAATACGCGTCATTTGCCTTTTTAAACATTAAAATCCTTCAATCCGTTCAGAAGTTATGGCGTTTTAAACATACGCGTGAAATTTAAGGGAAACATATCAATGGTATGGTCAGACATTAGATTTTCTGTAAGGAATTTTTTTCTCGAAAGTGCGTAGGAATTCGGGGGTATGTCTATTCACCAAAAATTATTGTAATTGACCCCCGCAACCGAAAATAATTTTTTTAGAACGATTTGAAATTTTTTAATTTCGCCGAAAAATTTCACACCTACTCGAATTTTTTTCTCGAAAGTGGGTAGGATTTCAAGGATATATCTATTCACCAAAAATGATTGTAATTGACTCCCGCAACCGAAAATAATTTTTCCAGAATGATTTGAAATTTTTTAATTTAATTTTTTAATAACTTTTTAATGAAGCCTCAGTCAAGAAATTGATATTCTTGATTTTCGTCTTATTTTGGCCACTAGAATCTCCCATTAAAATTTTTCCCAAGGGTGGCAACAAAATATTTAACAGTGCTATTATTATTATTATTCATTTATTCACGAGAAAACCTCTTTGGTACACAAAGAATTTAATACGTAAAGAAAAACAAAATGAAAATTATATGAGAGACAATATAATAATTATTCTACAATACTGTGCAAGGTTAGTTAGCATGAATAATGATTCTGTTTATACAATTGTAAGATCCATGTGTTCAGTGATGGCTTACAGTATACAATACAGTGTGATAAATAGACTACAGATATGCATTTATGGGAAATTTTAATTCTCAAAGACTACAGACTGCACTTAATATGTAAAACTATAAGAAATACTTAAAGATATGAATTATTACATTTAGGGGTTGAGACAATCCTCTACAAAGCTCTCGATCTATTAATTCTATAATACTAATAAAAATATGCAATCTACTGATAAAATAAGGCATAATTTTGATCACGAATGACTATTTTTCACTCAGAAAAATACAAGAAGCAAAATATTAGAACTCCCTAGACGCCTCGACAAAGCAAAGCAATTTTTAAGACGTCCAACTTCACCTGTTCTCATCGTTCAAAATTACGTTTTATTAATTTTTTTAGCAAACTATCACTCTACGGTTATCTGTATCGAAAAGTCGGACGTTTCGCGGCGAAAGGTCGCTAAAATATCCCGAATCCCCCTCCGTCCCGGAGTTTGTCATCTGGTCGCCAGGACGATCGAATTTTTGCCAGCGGTTTATATCGAGCGTGGGAGGCGGGGGAGGGCAAAAAGTCAAGCTATCCTTCTTAGCGGTATTCAACACTCTGGCAGCGATATATCCCGGTCTCCTTATCTCGCGGAAGAAGAAGGCACAATGCCTTCCGGGGTGCGCGTATATATGTATATATAGTGGCCGGAAGTATACGGGGGCTGGCTCGCGGAATTCCGCAGGACTTTCATCGACGTTACAATAACTGCAATATATCCGGCCGCGGGGCTGTTCCTTCGCGATACCAGACGTCGGGTCCGCGGCTTCCGTGGATGAAAAGGAGGGTTGCAGGGATGAGAAGACAGGAGTTGGATGTTGGGGGGTGTGAGGGAGACTGCTCCGTCGACAATGGTACAACAATGGCGGAATATAAATCTAAATCCCGAGCACCATCCTTCCTGCCAGCTCCTCTCGCGCCTCGATCTTCGCTCCTTTCAATCCCTTCTGGTTCTTTCTCTCCTTATTCATTTCCGGCTGCCTATTTTGCTCGTTCCCCCTCCACCGGGCTTCCCTCTTCGTCTTCCATTCGCGTCGACGCTCGTTTTTCCCTTCGTTTCCTCGGTTGCAACTTCTCCGATTCGATAAGTTCCTCTCGCCTCCTTGGCCGGCTAAGCCTCCGTGGAATATTCCTTATTTTCCGTTACTTATTTATACCCGGACTCCGCGCGACCGTGCAACGATCCTGAAGAATCCAGTTACCTCGCGTTACCATTAATTGTGATCAGCGTTTCCGTTTCGACGAAGTTTCGAGACCTGGTTCCTTGATCTCCTTGCATAGTTAGGTTTGAATGTTTCTGGAGCTGCTTTTTTTCACCTTTTTCGTCTACCCTGATGTTTCCTCTCCTCTCCATTCAGAGCTTTCATTCTCTCGTTCTTTTTCACTTTCTCACCGAGAGTAAATTTTTCTTTGCAACGACGCGGGGTCGCCCCTTATCAGTATTTACGGCCAGACGTACGTTTTCACGGCTGCGTATTGTCGTTCCTACCCTTCTACGCTCCTAATGGATGACGCTTATCGTTCCTACTTTTACGTGTCGCGAGTGACGCAGACTCGAGGTCAACAAACTTTTTCCGCGAAGATCGAATAATAGGAATTTTAAACTTCGAAGGGGGTGGGAGGGCGTTGTTATATATTTTACGAGCCAACGTGTTGTATCTTAGGAATTATCTGTTCCGTGGATCTTTTGTAAATTGTTGAAATTTAACGAGTATGATTTTTTTATTTGCAGAAATCGATTGGAGAGCAACACGGAACATTGGAACGCTCTGCTCTTATCTTTGCGCGAGCTCATTGAATGGGTGATAAGAAAAGATACAGAGCTCACTGGTCTGGGTCCTGTCTGCGGTGACGTAGCTGCCTTGCAGAAACAACAGGTGAGTTTTTAACAATTTTTCAACCTAGCCTGTTCAAAAATTTCGATATGTGTCACTCGTTGGTATACTGCATGTTTCTCCGTATAGAAATATTTATCAGAACCGCGAATCGAGGTGTTTAGACGAAAAGTTTTTAAATTAACATTCTGTGTATGCTGATGACACTCAACTAATTAACATTGTTTACCCACGTTGTATTGAATCTGCTAAGTGCAAGATACAAGATTACTTTAAAATTCTGTGCATTAACTGCTTCCTCTTCTTCGAAACTTACCTCCATTTTGTATTTACCATGATTACATTTTCTCCTAAAAAATATTCATATTACATTTGACTCACCCTGTTTCGACCATCATACAGCAGGAGTTGTACCACTCCATATTTTCCCATTTACAACTTTTATATTCTCGTCATATTTTATCGAGTTACTTTAAATTCATACATTCTCATCCCGTAGTGGTTTTCCTTTTTGATTATTGCGACGTAGTATATCGTCCGTATTTTTCTTCTGTCCTCGCTTGTTTAGCGTATTCAAGCAGCTTTTGCTGTTCTTTCTTTATTTGTTCTTCGATGCAATGTGAATGAGATACTTCCAGGAAACATATACTTTCTTTTAATTTTCTGCTATAATCACCAACAATCTTCTTATGTCGCCTTAAATGGGACATCCACGTTGTTTGATAGATTTAGGGACGACCTAATACCACCCAAACATAATTCAAACAATAGCAAACCATCTGACCAGAGTATTTCTGCATGTGAAAGTTTGTTCACTGTAATGTTCCAAGTAGTCAACAAATTTAATTCTCGATTTGATAATATCGAACGACGCGAACACATAGGACGACCTAACATCATACAAATGTGATTCAAACAATAACAAACCACCTGACTCCTGTGTGTGAAAGCCTATTCATTGAAATGTTTTGAACAGTCAACGACTTTAATCCTCAGTTTCATAATATCGTACGACATGAACATATAGGATGACCTAATACCACCCAAACGTCATTCAAACAATAGCAAACCAACTAGTCCCAGTATGGCGTGAAAATCTGTTTGTTGCAATGTTCGAAACAGTCGACAAATTTGATAATGTCGATCGATACGACTCACATGGGACAATTTAATACCACCCAAACGTCATTCAAGCAATAGCGAACCACCTGACCCCGAGTATGGCGTGAAAGTCTGTTCGCTGCAATGTTCCGAATAGTCAACAACATCATCTTGGAATCCACCTCGTCCCCTGCAATCTTGTCTCGGGCAAATAGCCTCGTGTACCTCAAAGCGTCCCCCGTAACCTACAGGAATGGACTGGATTACACGAAAATGACGCAATTAGGAGAACAGTGTGTGTGAGCGCGCGCGCGGACACAGATGGCGAGGAGCACGCGTCATCAGGGCGAAGGGGCTGGTTGCTCGGAGCACAACCCCCGTCGGCCCAGTTTCCACGCACAAAGACGGACTAGATCGGGCTAATCCAGATTAGAACGTCCATGTACCGGCTCGCAGCTCGCGAGTGCTTGTGCGCCCACCCGTCGAGTGTACGGGGATGATAAGGTGCATGTAAAGCGATCCTGATCACAAACATCATCGACAGACGACATCTGCACACGCTACTTATCAGGGGCTGCTCTTCGATATAGGCTCGTTCGATTCTTCTAAGAAGTTGATTTGGAATCAATATTACTGGAATTAGGTAGCTGGAGAATTTAGAATCTTCTATTAAAAACTACCCTCTGTAGAGAAGAAACTTGGGACAACTTTTGACGTGAAATTTATCTATTGTTATTGGGAATTTATAGGTTTTACTGCCTTGTGAAAATTGTATCAAGTAAGATTAGATTTTACAGTTTACACGTGGTTCTACAGACTTGAGGGTAGTTTTTACTCTATTTTCCACTGGAATATTTACACCGTAACAATTGTTTTTCTTGTCACAATAAAATTTAGAGGGATCCTTTTTGATCATTCTTTGGCAAGGAACTATACAATTTTTCTTACCATTTCTGAAATATATTACAATGCACAGTGATGAGCATACAAATAGGGGGGAACATTTGTTGAACTACAGTGCATTACAAAGAAAAAAATTAATCACTGTTCATTAAATATTTCTCCAACGGTAATCAATTTAAAAATGGTATTACATGCGTGTTTGTCGACCATAACATGGCCGGCATTTAAAAATAAACATTCTGTCGATACGCAAATCCCCACAGTTGGCAGATACTGTCTGACAGCCACGCTCACAAAGGAATAAATAATCCTATCTACTTCCCAGTAATTCTTTGGGAACGTCCGATGAGAAAAACGCAGAAGCTCCAACGAAAATACTTGCCTTTATCGCAAAACAAAGAACGAAATCCACGTGAAATAATGGTCGTTCACATTTCACGAGAGGCTGAACGAGGGATCGATTCTTCACTGAAAGAATAAATTCGTGCCGGCATCGGATATGCAAGAATCCATTTAAAAAATTGAACGCTTTTAACATCGTTCTACGCCAAATCGAACACTTTTTTAAACAATATTTCGAACTTTCCTAACATTTAAATACATTGTAAAAGTATCTCTAAGAACTTGAACAGAAATTTTTGAAACTTGTTGATTTCGTAGTTTATAAAGGATAACGTTAATGTTTGCTCGATAAATTGAACATTCTAAATTTCCCCAATTTGTTTGCAACAATACTCTCTAAAAACTCAATTTTTATAAAAATCATAGTCGACGTATCCATCCGATCGGTGCAGGAGTGTTTGAGGGTGTATGAACGATACCTTACATTCTCGTTTCACCTACAATCAGCAATTAAATTCCGTACAAGTATTTATATGCACAAAAAACACCGAGGGGGAGGGAGAGGGGGGATTGTTCCGCACGTACGTAACGAATGTTATTCAGTTTTTATCTACGCGATTTCAACAATAAAACGTAATGTATTCCGCCGCGATATCAGTTAGTTCGGCCCGTGGACACGAACAACAGATAAAACCGGGGCAAAAAGGTCGTGGTGTACAGGTGTTTCGAACAATAAGCGAGTTTCGGGTTTACGTGATGTGCCAATGTCGCATCTGCGATGCATGAAATTCAAATATCGTTCTTTAAAGCGTAGCGTCCTCTCTCGGTTCTTTTGCTCCTCGTCGTTTGAAACGCTGTCGCTTGGTCGTCGTCGTTCGCGACGTGACAACATGCAACGGCAGCTGCAACACGTGCACACTATCTGTATACTCAGAGCAGCTTCGAACGAGAACAGTATTCAAGCAGCGCTCGTCGCAAAACGAGGAAATTTCGTTCCACAGTATTTAGATATAATTGTTTACCGGATCGTCTGCGAAAGCGATTAAAGTCTTCGTTCGTCGATTCGATGCGATTTTATTCCAGCTTCATTGAATTACTCCGTTTTCCACCTCGAGAAGATGTCTACAGGATGGCCTAAATGTTCTCTGACAAACGAGCTGACAGATATTTATTGCAATCTGGTTTGTCGTATTTGATCTTATTCTGTGAAAGCCCATTCAGAATTCGAATTCAGGATTCGAACTTTCTTAAAAATCTAGTTTGAAAATAGTTACATTGTTGACAATAAACTTCCGAATTAAATGTCTGGGTTACGCCATTATCTCTCGCGAGTATTATTGCTATAAAATATCCATTTTTTATTTGAGAAACATGTAAACATAATAAAACGATTCGTGACAACTATGTAATCTCTGACGAATATTTAACCCCTTGCTATACAATAACGTGTCTGACTCGTCAAAAGTTCCTCATGTCAAGTTTCACAATTATGAGACCACTCACTCATCATCAAGTCTTATAAATTAAAATCAACACATTTTTACATTCACGAGGTATTCGTAAAACAACTCAATATTTTTCGTGACTATTCCTTGTATGAACAAATGTAAATAAAATTAAATAGTATACGTTTGAAAAATTATTTGGAATTACATCGTAAGTCAAGGGGTTAACAACTAGAAGAAACAAATAGAATATAAAATGCTTTTAAAATATGTTTATAATTACAAGTGGTGGAAGAATGATTAGTAGAAATGAAATTCGGTTCGTATTTAATAATATCTAATATAATTAATAATGTAAATGAAATAATTATAATTATTGTAATATTATAAAATAAATTTAAATTATTAGAAAATGGTGAACTTGGATCTTGAAAAGAAAATATTATTCAATGTGAAATTATTAATAAAAAATATAATTTTTATTTAAGAATCTTACATTCATTGCACTTATCTGCCATATTAATAAATTTCAAATAAAATATATTTAATTTTTATTATTTTAATAATTAATGGTAATTTATTAAATGAATGATCTAAAGGAGGATAATTTTGTAATCATTCTAGGGATCACTGGTTAAATTTAAAAATAATTAATCGTTTAGAAATTAATCTTTCTAAAATACTAAAAATTAATAAAATTAATCTATTTAATGAAATTAAAGAACCTAAAAAAGATATCAACAATAGTATCGCGAAAAAATTGAGTTTTTCTGGTGTTTAAATATTTCACGAATTCATGGCAACTATATAATTTCTGACGAACAACGAGAAGAAACAAATAGAATATAAAATGCTGAAACTATATTTGTAATTACGACAAAGGGTGGAAGAATGATTAGTAGAAATGAATTTCGGTTCGTGTTAAAGGCGAGGATCGCGGAAAAATTGAGTTTTCCCGACGTTTAAATATTTCGCGGAATCTGACGTGTAATTGTAAGTTGGAAATTAACGCCGCCGCGTAGAAAACCCCCCCGGGGAGACACAAATGCGAGCCGACTAATGACCAGACCAGAAGTTAATCCAACAGAACTCCGCGGGCGGGATAGCAGTTGAACGATATAGTGGGCCACGTGATCTCGGAATTTCAGGGAATAGTTTCGCAAACGGCGTTCTAATTCGTAACGCAAATAGTTGTGCACACGAGGACGACGCGACATAGTAATTTATACAAATACGAAGCGGGACCCCGGA